AAATGTTTTGAGAATGATGAGGGCAATGAATGTACAAATGTGCTTTCCACAATTGATATATGTATGGATTGTGATATGAGTGGTATGAGCCCCTAATAAAACGATTTAAAAACATTAAATACAAAAAAAAAGTTGTACAAGTCTCCCCAAAAATGATTTTTAAAGATAAATAAATAATAAATTGTTGGAAAGCAAAAAAAGAAAACCATTAAAATATTTTTATATTAAAAAATGCAACAACAAAAAATGCAAACACATAGCCTTGGGGAAAAAATCTATTTTGGGGCGGCACCCCCTCATAAATAAAATTTTGTAGTTTATGATTTCTCATTTATTATCAGTATTTATGATTTATTAGTAATAAATGTTTAATTTGTGTAGTTTTTTTAATACAATTTTATAAACTAGGTATCCAAATATACCCAGGGCCATCTAAAAATTTCTCAGGCAAAAAGGGGTTGAGTGGAAAGAGTTTAAGAAACCCTGCATGAGACTGTGAGGTTCAGAGCACCGCTGTCCAGAACACGCAGCCCCCGGGTATGAGGAGGTGTCGGGGTGCTGGGATCAAGCCCAGACTTCACCTCTTAGCTAAGTTGGGGGCAGCCTCCGTCCTCCCACAGCCCCGTGTCAACAACTGAAAGCAAGCCAGCAACCACCTCCCACAGGTCAGGGAGTCACACGTGGGGATGTAGGAGCCTCCCTTTGCAGCCCAATTTTCCTCCCAGGGTGACAATGCCAGCCAGACATCCACACTGGGTGGGGGGGCAGGGCTCCCGGTAGCTCAGGTGTGGCCCCTTTGGGCCAAGAGTCCACTCTGGCTGTGTGACCAGCGCTTCCGGCATCACACACCAGTTCTCCAGCAGCGCAGTGTAGTCAGAGAATGGCTGGGTGGAGGGGCTCAGGGGGTCATGTCTCTTTAAGGGGGCCCAGGGCAGCAGGGAGTCCTGGAGAGGGTCTAAGGAAGTGAGCAGTGAGCTAGTGGATGTAGGGTTTGCTCTGGAGACCAGAGGCCAGACCAGGCCAGGGGGGACAGCCTGGACCAAGAGGGAGGTGGGAGATTTCAGAGCTGAGGGAACCTGATTCTTGTGAGGCTAAGGGTTCTAGAGAGGGTCCAGAAGGGAGGACCCTGAGGATGTGCACTACATGAGGAACTGTATGAAAGGGTCACAGCATGAGGAAGGTGGAGAACCACTGCTCTAGAGGCATGTGGGGCGGCTGGGCTCAGGCCCAGTGACCGGGTCTCCTTGTGGAGTGCAGTCAAATTTTTACTAGGCTCTTCTATCCATCTCCGTAAGTCCCACCAAATGACTGGGGGTGGGACTATGCAAACAGGGCATGTGCCACCGTATACAGGGGATTGCTTGGTCTGTTTTGGTGACCGCCCTCCTGTCGCCATGCTTGAAGCAGAAGCAGACAAATCCTGGGGCCACTGGAGGAGCCACTGGCGGTGCAGCACCTATGAGCTCCACGCCTGAAGGGCCCAGAGGCATCACACCTGTGCACCGAGACCCTGGGGCGGAGTAAGGGAGGCAGGCCAAGCCCAGAGCCGAGACAAGAAAACCCGAAGCTAGGACAGAGGAGCAGCGCTGAGACTCAGACCTGTGAGGCAGAGACTATGGAACCAGCTGGGTTTCCTAGTCCACCAAGGCACCAGCTAAGGGACCACGCGGCTGGGAGGCTGAGGGGGAGAGAAACTTAGCTGCTGCCTAAGGAGGTATAATTGTGGACCAATGTCTGGACCCATCCTGTTTATTGATTCTGATTGCTGGGAGCCTATTCACTTCCCTAATAATGACCTATAATTGTGGCTATTATCGGAGTTCTGTGTGACCCTTACAATGGATTATCGAGCCCCAAATGAAAGCAGAGTACCGTGAGAGGACTGAGGGATGCCAGACGAGGGTAAAGAAAGCCGAGGGCGAAAGGCTGTCTGACCCCTGCCTCATGGCAATCGGGAAGCCAGAGGTCAGCTAATGGCCTCCCGTGTCATTTCCAAAGCTTCCAGGGGCAGTCAGAAACGGGGCTCCCTGACCCAGCCTTCAGCTCCCAGGTGCATCAGGAGGGGAGCTCGTCGTCCATCTGATGAGACCAGGCTCAGGGTGGACATAGGCAGGAGGTCACAGTATACCAGTAAGGGGTATGAATGGATGTTGGTGTGACATCCATTCTGTTGGTTTTCTCAGGGCAGGGCAGTCCTTCTTCCTCTCCTTGCGGAAGCAGCCAGTGGGTCCCCCAGTACTGCGCCGTGGTCTCTGTGCAGGCTTCCCCGAGTAACCTGACACAGACCCCAAAGAAACTCAGTTGACGGGGACGATGGGCCTCCTGGGCTAGGGACAAACCTGGATGGCACACCACCATGCTTGGGCACGTGGCCGAGAGCAGAGCAGGCCCTCAACTCACGACTTTCTAGTGGCTGCAAGGCTTGTACAAAGAACTTGGCCCCGAGCCGATCTGCTTCCTGCACAAGGCAAGGCACACGAAGGGTGCTGGGCCAAACGCCGCAGTGTATCACCAAACCATCCGCCACAGGGCCCACTCCCCAGCACAGGTGTGCTGTTTTCCAATTGAGGAGCCTGGGCCCACAGAGGTGTGTCCCTTGCCTGAGGCATCGAGGTGCCGCTCTCACAGAGATGGGATTCATCTAAGCTCCTTCCTTGCGTTCCTAGCAGGGTCTGGGCACGGTCAGGCCTTACAGGCAGGTGTGACGGTGTGTGTATAGGCCAGGCCTAAAGAGCGAGGAGATGGACAGGTGGGACCATTTGGTGGGGATGTGGTTTCCTGGGCCTGGCCTACATTCAAAGGTGAGAGAACCAGTCAGGCGCCATTGGTTTATTACAGAAATCTGTTTAATGGGGTTTGAATGTGTACACTCTGGCTCTGCGAATTTTCCAAAAAGGCAACTTTCCCATGTTTTAAAAAATAGATTTGTTATAAAGATTCATAAATAGGTAACATGAAAAATTCCCAAATGCAAATCGCATCCTTGGGCAAGCTGACCTGCTTCCCCACCGCAACATTCCAGGCCTGGCAGGGGCAGGGGCAGGGGCTCAGGCTGGAGGGGGCCAAGCCTGGCGGCCCTCTTGAGGAACAGTAACTGAATTCAATATGAATTAGGAGCTTCCTCCAGTTCCATCTGCTGGGGCCCACTTCTTGGGAGTCCAAATCCCTTTCTGGGAGGACAGAAAATCCACCTTGCTGGTTGGGAACCTCCCAGAATACAACACTTTAAGGAGTCTACACTTCAAGTCCCTGCTCTGCCCCAATCTCCATTCTGATCTTGAAGCCCTATCCAGGCCTCAGGTGGCCTTCCTTCCACAGTCCTGGTGGCTACAGGGGCACCTCCCAGCCTCCCTGCCCTTGCCCCCAGCCTTCTCTCCCACTCCCCACCAACCCCCAGCTCCTGCTCAGTTTATAAACAAAGGAAGATATTACACTGCTCCCTTGCCCCTGAAGCTCCAGGTTGCCTGGGAGAAAGCCAAGCCTGCCACGGAGAAGGAAGCGGGCTGGTTGTGTTGTCTCACCTACTTCCCCATTTCCCAAGGTCTGGAGGTCCCTCTTAGATGGTGAGTCCCCCCAAGGGGAACTACAGAAGCCAGCTACCTCCTCACACTCAGTCAACCCCCTCAGGGGCCTAAACCCCTTCTTAACCTGGCTTGTGTCTGAGGTGGGAGGGAGGGCAAGAAAGAGTGCTCCGCTAAAGCCTTTGGGAAGTGGCTTCAGTCCAGACCTCAGGGGACACCTCTAGGCTAAGGAGTACGGGAAAGCACTCCTGCTGGCTAGAGCCTGTGGGCAGAGAGTGAGCCCAGGGCGGAGCAGGTGCCCTCAGTGTGTCCATCTGGGCCATTTGTGGGGTTCTAACGAGCCGGGCTGCCAACTGCACGGCCAGCAGCGGGCACCAGAGAGAAAGAGGAGGCTTTCTGATAGCCTCGGGACCCGCAGAGGCAGATCTGCTGCACAGGGCCACTGTGAGTCCCCAGGGACGCAACGGCAGTGAGTTGAAATGACATGAGTCAAAGGGAGGGCTGTAACACGGGGAGGGAGGGAGGGGTGCAGGGGCAGGGAGGCCGAGTTGGCTTGGGCAGAGGTCACTCAAGGAGGACCAGAAAATGGTGGACAGAAGCAGGGGCAGAGCTGTGCGGGCCCTGGGCACCTGGGAACGTGTTAAGTGCAGAGGAGACAGCCCCTCCAGCACGGCCAGAACCCCCCGCCCCGGGCTCAGGTGAGGTAGCTGGGGGCCAGGGTGAAAAATGGCCATCCCAGCACAGCCAGGGTTCCGCCTCTGTTCAGGTGAAGGGGATGACAAAGCTATGCTAGGACCAGTGAGGGAGCTGGCGCTTGCGGTCAAAGCAAGAAGAATGTTGGCACCTGGGGTGGGACTGGGTGGCCCGAGGGTCCCTCTCAAACCTCAATTGTCCCTTTCACATCCCACCCTGCCCCCTGGAGCCAGCGCTAAAGCATGGACTGGTTTTGCAACCTGAGTGGCAAGCTCTGGGTCTGAGCCAAGAGACAGTCCCCACTGACTGTGGCTGTGACCCCACACGTGGTGCCGATGGACACCAGAGCACACGGGAGGTGGTATCTAAGGCAGCAAGCCAAGGCCTACGGTGTCTGCAGACTGTGAGCTGGCAGTGGAGAAAGGAAGAAGTCTCCTCAGCTGAGAGGTGAGGCTGCTCTGGGGCGGGAACCAACAAGGCAGACTGTGGGCCTGCTTGCCGAATAGCTCTGCCTCTCTGCTGTTACACACAGGGGCCCCGGAGTGACCCGAGGCCCACATCCCTAGGAAGGGCACTTCACAGCCTTCCCCTGCTGCCTGCCCACCCAGACAGTGGAGGTCTGGAATGTGAAGACCACGAGGCCAGGCCCCCAGCCTAGCAGCCCCTGCAGAAGGTGTCCCGCTTTCCCACCAGCAAGGAGGGCCTCTCTGACCCCTCGGGAACCACTGGCACCCAGAGACAGAGGTGGAGAGGCCCGGCCTGGGTGCCCCGGTCAGCACCCACAGCCCCAGCTCTCTGAGACGTCCTTGGTGTTCAGCTGGATGTGGTCGGTGTTCTTCTCGCTGAACATGTGGCCGCCGTGCCGCACGATGAGCTCCGTGGCCACCCGGAGGAAAGCCTCCTCCACATTGCTCGAGTCCTTGGCCGACGTCTCGATGGCACACAAGATGTCGTAGTGCTCGGCCAGGCTCTGCGCCTCGGCCAGCGGCACCTCCCGGAGCTCCTCGAGGTCCGACTTGTTCCCTGCACGGGAAGGTCAGGTTTAACTTGGTCAGCCACACGGACGCTGCACACACCTGTCCTGAAACCCAGGGTCCCACTCCTCTGTCAGCCACAGAGAGCACATCTGTTTTAGGTTAATACTCCTTTTCTAACTTCTAGGACCTCGTTTTGTGTTCTCTTCACAAAAGGATGAGGTGGTCTGCTGCTTCGCTCAAGATCTGAAGAACATCGCTTGGAGGAGCACTAGCCTCTAGAGCTGCAGCCCCTGGGTCTGAAGTCTAGCTCCCAGCACCTGCTCTGTGGCCCTTGAGAAGTCACCACCACCGAGTCCCAGTTTCCCCACAGTCAGCACGGGTGGGGGGTGGGGGGCGTGGAAACACTGGCACATGGTAATGGAGGAGTGAACCATGAAATCTGGCATTGGGTTATTATTTTTTTTTTTTGGTCCAGCTCTCTACTTTGATGTGAACGTCCTGGGCTGTTAAGCACAAGGTACAAAGGCACCAGCAGCCCTATGGGAGAGAGATGAGGATGTCTGCTCTCGTAAAGACTTACCGTCTCAGCCCTGTGAGCTGGAATTAACTGATGATGGGGTGTTTGGTTGGGTATTTGCCTTTGTGGTATAGTGAACTACTTAGCGAGGCTCTTCTCGCCATAAACCAAAACACTCACTGCCATCAAGTCAATTCTGACTCATGGCGACCTTATAGGACAGGGTAGAACTGCCCCTGTGCGCTTCTGAGATGCTAACTCTATGGGAGTAGAAAGGCTTGTCTTTCTCCCATGGGGTATCTGATGGTTTCGAACTGCTGACCTTTCGATTAACAGCCCAGTGCATAACCACTATGCCACTAGGGCTTCTTCCAGACATAGTCCTCCAATTTGTGATGTGCTTTATACCTGTAGTTAGAGCCCTGGAGGCAGAGCGTCCATTACAGAACTGGACGATAAACACAAGGTCAGTGTTTCAAATCCACCTGTCACTTCGCTGGAGAATGATACACCTACTCTGCTCCCATAGCGACTGATAGTCTTGGAAACCCTCAGGAGAAGTACACTTTGTTCTAAGGGTCGCTATGAGCTGGAATTACTTCGAAGGCTGAGGGCTGTTGTCCGTGAGACACCTGCGGTGACAGCCCCATTTTGGAGTGTGTGACCTACTCCGCTGACGAAGCAGAATGAGTGGGGGATTCATCTGGAGTCATTGCCTTCACATCTCCACTCGGACCCTGTCTCCCCTTGCCTTGCTCAATGAGGAACATTCTCTTGTGGATGGGTCCACGTTATGAATGCTTTAGAGCAGCGGTTCTCAGCCTGTGGATCGC